GATATATATATATATATATATGTAAAAGTTGAAGTTTATGCGTTAGATATGCAAATACATCATAATAGAGAGTTATTTATTAATAAGGTGTCATGTCTTCTTTTATCAGCCATGCTTTTCAAATATTTTATAATGAATATATCTTTTATTTGTTGGTTTTCGTCCATTATTATTGGCTAATGGAATCCTTGGAGGAGTTGGGGAAAGTGACGTTGCGATGGAATTTATGAACACTGATTGGTTATCGCATCTTTCAATATGGACGGCTGGATTTTACATAATCTGGAGGCATGATGACTTGTTGCTTGTTGACATAATCTTTGTAGCGTAATATTGTGATTTTGGTCTACTTTGATTCATCTTTTTTATCTTTTATATTTTGAAAAATTGTTCGAATTCAAACTAGTTTTTTCTTTAAAATAACTTAAATTTGTCGGTTCAAAATTTCTTAATTGTTTTAGTGTGTGTGTGTATATATGTACACACATATATCTGTACATATATGTGTCTATATGTGTATGCATATGTATGTAAATATGTGTGTGTGTATATGTATGCATATATGTGTGTAAGAAAATTCAACATGTAGCGTTTATGGCGCCGAATGACAGTGAATTGAGAAAGTCAAAAGATGAAAATATCATGCGTCATTTAATTCAATCAAAATTCGGATACAACCGAAAGAATGAATATAAGGAGAAACCAATCCCCCCCCATAAAGAACACATTTCTCACCCTCAATGAAGGCTCTTTTCCAATGAGAGCTACCCGTCAGATTATGGTCATAAATCCTCTGCCTAAAGGCCCAGTTCACCTAATGACAGAAATATCAAGCATAGTTTAACCGACAACCTTTCGACCAGCCATATGACTGCCGACCGACTAAAGACTTTCATCTATCTGAGAGATAATGTTAATTAGTCATCAAATGACTCTCCTCAATTAGTTATGAATATGAAATGATACTATGATCGGTTATGAGTATAAAAGAGTGTCAGAGTAAGTTAAGAATATGAAAAGATGTCATAACAATATCTTATATCGTCCCTATTAAAATAGTGACAATTATGAAATTTTACAATAGATGCCCTTGAATTCTATAAATAGCGGGACATTTTTATAATAAATGACTATTAAAATTACTCTATCAAAATTCTTATTTTACTGTGCACTTTCTTTCTTTCCCCCTCTTTCTCTATTTCTCTCATCTGTCTTACGCTCTTCATCTCGGACGTTTCATAGGACATCTGAATTCAACATTTTCAAAAGTGTGGTCTGCTTGGATCATGTTATCAACAAGAAGAAGAGCACATCACGACGAATAAACTCATTTAAGAAACACTTTAAACATGGAGTGCACAAGAAAAGTTTTGCAACAACAAACTCAGGAACTTAAAGACAACATGACATGACATATAACATAATTGACCTGCATGCTCATTAAGGGAAGAGCACAAGCTCCCCAAGAAAAGTTTTGCAACAACAAACTCAGGAACTTAGAGACAACATGACATGACATATAACATAATTGACATGCATGCTCATTAAGGGAAGAGCACAAGCTCCATGGAAACAGAAACTTCGAGAATAAGAACCTAAACCCCAAGTCTGTTGAATGACTCAAAGGGGAGAATGATGGAAGACTCCCAGTATCTGGGTAGCGTTTGGTCAACACCGTTGGTCAAACAATGGTTTGGGCATATGAAGGTTTAACGTCAACTAGACAATATGTTGTCCTAGCAAATCTTTGATGTTGAGCCACCGAAGAAGTTTCAACTCCCTTCAATAGAATCATACAAGGGGCAGAGTGATCCAGAGAATCGGTCGTATGCCTTCACAAAGTCTGACACATTGAAATTTCAATTATTTTACACCACACTGAGGGACTCAACCCTCATGAGGTTCAATGGCCTCCCAACAGGAGCAATCACCTCCTTCACTATATTCAAGAAGATGTTCACAATGCACTCCCCCAGCACTCAGAAGCCTTGTAAGAACTCATAGACCCTATGACATGTCATTTAAGTGACGAATAAGAACCTTCATTCGTATTTTGCTTGATTATAGAATAAAATCCTAAAAGTGTGGGATCTGGAAGTCGAAATAGCACATGTTGGCTTGATCCAAGGGCTCAGGAGCGAGTGATTCAAGTATTTTTTAGGAGTTAGCAAACTATCCATTACAGTTGAGAGTATTTCATCCTTCTTATTACAAATCTGAATAATTCAACCATCGCTCGTGGAAGTGGCACTCTTAAGATGATGAGTGGAGGTTGAAGGACAACCTAGACATGAAGATAACCAACCAACTCGTGATAATGGAGAGGCCAACAAAAACCATCAAAGAGGAGGATAGAGCAGTTGAATGACCGATAATTTGATGATCAAAAGATACCAAAAGACACTCATTTGAGGGATTCATTGACGGAATTGGTGGAGGTCATACTGGACAAGGAGTAATTCAGAAGGGCTCCACTAATGAGAACCAGAGCTTTTCTCTGGAACACAAATAAATTATATAAGTACCATAGGAATCATGGTCATGATACGAAAGAGTGGAGACGCCTCCGAAGCCTGGTTAAAGAATTAATTTGGCTCGAAGAATTCAAAGAGTTTTTGGTCTTTAAACCCTAAACCTAAAAGGAGGGGAAAGCCCTAGTAGAAGAAGACTCTGGTAAGCCCATCTGAGCCAATGTTATCCACATCATGGGAGGAGAATTGATCTGTCGAGCTGATCATAAGAGTCTCCAGACAGGGGAACTTTGTGTCGCCGCTTTGGCTTCGAAGAGGATGTTTCATTCTCTGAGCATTTTTACTAATGTAGACTTGCCTGCGAAGGGGAACTCCTACAGCAACACCGTCACGATCACGATGATGATAAAAAACTATAAGGTCGGTAGTATTTTGTTTGACACTAGCAGTTTAAGAAACATCATATTCAAATCAAACTTTGACAATATGCATCTATTAGCCAACCAACTAGTGGTACCAAGAATAATCAGGCTATCAATCACATGAGAAGAAGGTGATAGTAATGAAGATTTAATTTTTTATATTTAAAAGAAGATTTTTTTTAATTAATTAATTTATATAAAAATATTAAATAAATATTTTAAATTTTTGGATAAATAATGTCTCCTATGTTTACTGAGTACAGGGGTAATTTTATTTTATTTTTATGGGTTTTCTACACCAAAATATGATCTTTTTCAAAGTTTAAATTAATTACTGTAATTATTTAAACTAGAAAATTCTCATTTTAAGTTAACCATAGGAAAAATGACTTAAAATCACAATAACATTAAGATACTATACAAGTATTACAGTAAAACAGTGCAAGTAACACCATAATACCACTATAATATAATGCATGTAACATGGTGTAAATAAAGCAACAAAAAGTGCAAATAACATCATAATACTACCAAAAATATAACTTCAAATAAGTCAAGTACTGTTCATCTTCTCAAATGAGCTAGAACACCTGAACCGTCCAAGTTAAAACATCAAAATCTGACTCGATACTTAATGAAATTAAAAAGGGTTTGATCTTACACCATCGTTTAAGCATGAGGAACATATTTATATGGCAAGATTATCATGGCATGCAATTTCTTTTCACAAAGGCCCAAAACTGAGGCGAAAATGAAGTTTTTTGAGTTATACATTTGACCAAGGGGTGAGGTTTTGATTGGGCGGTAGTAGAAGATTCACTTGAATCCTAAAAACTTATTTCAAGCATCAAATTCGTCCATGAATGGGTTCAAGTACAAACTTGATCAAATGTGTGGTTGACCTTGGTCTTGAGCTATGGTAGAGGGCTCAGAAAGAACACGACTTGGTGTAGAATGATGTTTTAGGGTCTTGGGAAGCTTGTGGAGTGACTATTTTGGTGTTTTGGCAAGGTTAAATTCATGGGACAAAAATTAATTTTTTTTTTAAGGTGAAGATTTGTGGTTTGATGAGAGGTGGAAAGGGGTTAGGAAGCTTAGGATGAGCTTATGGAAGGTTGCAAAGAGGTCAAGGGAAACTTCGGCAAGGCTTCGCCTTAGCTCCCTTGGTACTGTGCTATTTCAAACATGAAGGAGTGGCCTTATGTATGCTTGGCTAAGGGCTGGAGACAAGGGAAAATTTTCCAAATTAAAGCTTCAAGGGAAGGGTGATGGCTTGGGCCCTTCAAATGTTTCATGAAGGAAAGTTCAAAGCATGCATTTTCACCAAAATCAAAAATCGTTTTCCTAAAGGAACGACCTATTCAAGAGACTTGGGAAGAGAAGATCTCGGGCAGAGGGCGATGAATAGGGTCAACATGTCCTTTGCCTTGCGTGAGTGAGCCAAAATGGAAATTCTCATTTTCCCGAAGGAATGACCTATTCAAGAGCCTTGGGAAGATAAGATCTTCAAGCAGAGGGTGATGTACATGGTCAACATATCCTTTGTCGTGTGCGAGTGAGCCAAATCACGAGAGGAGAAGCTACGGTTTTGTCCATCTAGGTGTTATTCAGATCGTATTATGGTTGTATTTTGGTTGTATTTGTAGAAAATCGAACGAAAACCCCCTCAAAATTGTGTTATTTGGTGTTTTGCGAAGTTTTGTGAGGTTATTGGAGATTAATATGGGGTTTACTGAATTTTGGAAGTGTTATGGGTTTTAGGAGTTTGGTTTTTTTTTGCTATATTTGAGATTCTTGGGTGGCATTAGGATGTACGACCGTGGGTGTCGTTGGGATGTGAAGAAATGGAGTAATTTTAGTGTTATTGCCAAAAAGTCGGTGATTTGGGTATTATTGTGGGTTTACCTTGGTAATACTCGTTGTTATTGGATTTATTTTTTTTTTTTTGTGGGTTTACCTTGGTAATACTCGTTGTTATTGGAATTTTTTTTTGAAAAGACGGGTGGTATTGATACATTATGCTCGGTGATCTAGTGTTTATGCGTGGTTTACCGCTGCAGCTGAAAGGGTGGTTTTATTCGTGGTAGTATTTTGGTAATATTTTTGGGTGTATCACAGGATTGCGGCGCGGTATGCAGAGCGGTAGTATTGTGGTGTTATTTAGGTATTATTGTGGTGTTATTGTTGGGTTTGTGGCATTGTACCGCAAAGCCATGCGTGGCGGCATTAGCGTAATAGTATATTGCTAGTATCACGATAGTGTTGGTGTTATCGCGCGGCGAGTTGGAGTTCCGCGATGTTATCGCTTGTGTATGCAAGGGTTTGTGGCATTGTACCGCAAAGCCATGCGTGGCGACATTAGCGTAATAGTATATTTCTAGTATCACGATAGTGTTGGTGTTATCGCGTGGCGAGTTGGAGTTCCGCGATGTTATCGCTTGCGTATGCAAATTTTGTGTTATTAGGCATTTTTTTGGTGTTTTTGACTTGGATTTAGCACAAATTGAACCCAAATGGACCTAAATTGGTTTCCCATCCCAATGTAACTCATGTGCACACGACAAAGCATAATTGGTGACCTGGTGAACCCTCAGGCGTGGTCAATTTGACAAAAATTAATTTGAACTTGGAATTTGATGAAATTGGGTTAGATTTAGATTTTGAAATAGCCTTGGTGAATTTGAAGTGGTTTTAAGTTAGATTTGGGTTTAGGCTTGATAAATTTGAATTTGGGTTTGGAATTAGGGAAAAGTGGATTGAATTTTGGGGTTTTGGTGCTTTTGGTGAAATCTGAGTTTGAACTTGGACAAATTTGGGGTTTTGATTTGAAATTTGATAGGATTGGCTTGATTTGGTAATTTGGTGGAAAATTGGGTCAATTTGGGAAATTTGGATGGTCTTGGAGCAAACTTGATGAGGGGGAAGTGAAGAGTAAATGAAGTGGCGACCAAACCACCTAAGGTCATAATGGGTGTCCCTAAGGCCTCATGATCCTATGGGAAATCTCTTTGAGCCTCAACATGTTGGTCTTAGCCATCTCAACCAAAAAATTGAGAGCTTGGGACCACCAATGTAAGGCCTCACAAAAGAGCTAAGAGGTGTTTAGAATTGCAAAGGGGTGAATCCCATCACTAGTCCTCTAGGATGGACACTAGGAAAGTCCTAAGGCTAGATTCTAAGCTCTTAGGAGAAAGAGTTAGTTCTCATATAAAATGAGGTCAAAACACTTTATCAAATTAAGTGAGACGCCTCAACATGTTGGTCTTAGCCATCTCAACCAAAACATTGAGAGCTTGGGACCACCAATGCAAGGTCTCACAGAAGAGCTAAGAGGTGTTTAGAATTGCTAAAGGGTGAATCCCATCACTAGTCCTCTAGGATAGACACTATAAAAGTCCTAAGCCTAGATTCTAGGCTATAAAGAGAAAGAGTTAGATTTCATATAAAATGAAGTCAACACACTTCACCAAATTAAGTGAGAAATTAATAAAGAATAATTTATTCCAAACAAATTCTATTCTTACATTCAATCTAGAGATCTTCTCACCACCTCCTTCACCTTTTGTCTTTAATACATGATATCTTTCTACAACTCACCAAAGAGTCATAATATTTTACCATCAAATTTAGCTATTAAACTTCACAATGAAAGCAAAAAGCAATAGAGAAGTAGCGAAATAAATCTTCATCATCACTAAATATGCCTTCAAGTTGAAAACGTATTACACATTTAGGGACAATAAAATTTTGGAACTTGTTTCACGTCATCAACAAATGTGGAGACATCTTGTGGACTATGGGTCAAAATGGGTTGTGGACTATGTTTCATTTCAAAATCATCCAATTTAGAAAAAAAACTTAAATTCTTAAGGATTGACTTTTTAGGAGTATTAAAAATTTCTAACACAATATTTGGCATTTATTTAATTTCAAATCGAACTTCTATTAAATAAAACTCACTTATTTATTTCACTTTTTGTTAGAATTAATGTATTTTGAGAAATTTGTTTAAATTATATACATCTTGTTTTGATTTCTCAAATTTTTTTTGGTTAGTTAAAAATTAAATTGAATATAATTGGATTTTTTTTATTTGGCTGTAAAATGAATTTATTTTTTCTATTTAAACATGAATTTAAAAGTGTATTAAAATAATGCTTTTCAATGTTTTAAAATTATAATTTAAATATCAAACTCTTTGCTATTAAATATGTTGTCACGACCTGACCGAGAGTTTGAAATTAATCAAGGTGGGAACAAACTGTCAGATGGTGGGAACTAAATTTTTTATATTCATTCTTTATGAATAACATTTTACAAATGAAAGAGCCACTAATTAAATTTAACTTATGATGGTAGAATAAAATTTTGCCCCATAACGGGTTGTACGCATTTTATATAAATTTTATTTCTTATATTGTTCATCTTTTAATCAATTAAATTACCTGAAAATTTAGTTTAAAAAATAATGATGATAAAAAAAAAAAACCATTGAATACTCGTATTCCTAAACTATAGCAATACAAGTAGAGCTGTCAAAACAACTGCTCGTTGTACGCGAACAACTCATGTTCGGCTCGTTATGCGGCTCATATTCGGCTCATTTGTTAAACAAACGAGCTGAACACGAACTAATTTATTGAGCTAGATTTATAAACAAGTTGAGCACGAATAGAGGTTTGTTCGTTCATAGATATATATAATGATTATTATTTTAAAATAATCCAACAAAAAAATTATAATTGATTAAAATCATATTAACTAAAAAATTAAAATAAAATATACATGAAGTAAATAAATAAGATAAATACAAGATATTCATGAACCTGTAAAATGTAAATTACATTACAATAAAATTTAGATTTTAAAAATGTAAATACGTAAGAATTGGGTGGTGTGCATGTAAATGCCCCTTCAATTAAACAAGAAAAAAAAAGAAATTTTAGATGTTATGCATATGAATATGTAACAATTGGGTGGTATCTATATAAATGGTTCCAATATTTTGCCCAAAAATTCTTCATGCCTACGGCCCAGACCCACTGCTGTTTGTGGTCTAATGGTGCTAGTTTTCACATCGGGACATCCAAGAAAATTTCATTGAGAAGGTTGTTGAAGTTAGGAGGTTCTTATTATTGGTCATTTTGTGCCTTAATTGGATAGGATGTTTCATGATATTAAATGCTATCATTAAAGCATTTATGTTATGATAATTATTTCATTAGTGTTCCCATCATTCGACACTTATAAGGTTCCTTGGACGCAATTAGTGGTGTAAACGAGCCGAACACGAGCGAGCTCAGGCTCAGCCCTTGTTCGACTCGTTTTTATTTTGAGCTCAAAAAATGTGTTTGTGTTCGGCTCGTTTGCTTAGCGAGCCGAACGCAAGCCGTTCACGAACAAAGAGTAGTTTTGACAATCCTAATCACATAGTCATAAGATGTTAAGTATTGAGACAAAATTTAAAAATTATTATTTATATTAAAATATCAATTGAATCTAAATTAGTATTTTTTATTATATTTTCTTAATTAATTATTTTAAATGATTATAAATTTTTGTAGCCATTTAGACAATTAAGTTTTTTAAAAATACTATTCTTCTCTCTCTCTGTATATATATAATTGATTAGTAGTATTTCGAGTCAAAACGAGCCGAACACAAACGAACAAATCTTGGTTTGTGTTGTTCGTGTTCGGCTTATTAACTTAGTGAACGAGTCGAACACGAGCTTCTTAACGAGTCGAATACGAGTTGCTCGAAAACAATAAACCATTTTGACAACCGTAGGTAGAATGATAATGCTTCAACCCGAGAGATTTAATGTGATTGAACATTTTGTTAAATCACAATTAATTAAATAACCATAAAAAATAAAAAGTTAATGGCAACATGAAAAAGAAGTCGGCCTCAATTTTTAAAATACATTTGCGTAAACCAAATAAACCCCACTCAGCACCGGTCGGCAAATTTGTTCGTTTCTTTTCGCCTCCCACGACTCCACTGAAGCCAGCGGCAAGCTACACTGGCATTTTGCCTCCTTGGGTTTCCTATAATTCTTTCCTTCCCGTTCGCCTTATGAAGATCAGATTAGGGCTATTACTATCCCTAATTGTGCCCGTACTCCTTGGGCTCTTTTTGGAGATTTTCATGGCAGATCAGGATTCCCACTTGTATCGCCGCTCGTTGTTATTGCTGGTCCTCGGGGTTGGATGCTATGCAATTTTGAACGGGGCTTTACGCTACATGCGTTGTAGAAAGAGAGTGGCGGATGCTGTCGTTGAAGAAGCAGAAGAAGAGCAGCTCGCAGAAAAACCCTTGTTGAACAAGCAAAGAGATCCGTTGATCTCGTCTAGGGAATTGGAGACGGAGGCATCTCCAGGTAGCAATTTCACTACGGTTCAATACATACAGTTGGAGGGGAACAGGAGCAAATCGCAGGAAATCGATGAGGATCTCCACAGTCGCCAGCTAGCTGTGTATGGAAGGGAGGCCATGAGACGACTCTTTGCCTCAAATGTTCTCATATCCGGTCTTAATGGCCTTGGCTGTGAAATAGGTGCAATTCGAATTTCAGTGGTGTTTTTTTTCCTATTGTTTTATTTTATCGCTTCTTATAGCTGTAAGTTTTTGCTGCTTGCTGTACCATCATAACTGTAATTGCATTTTCCAGCTGTGGATCTGTTATTTAGGCCAGAATATTGCTTGATTTTTCTTAACTCTTGATGTTTTTCTGTGGATTTATATTTTTTAGGTGAATTGTAATTCTTTGTGCTGAACCCAAGTTTGTTCTTGAATCACACCGAAAGAATAGAGTGTCCATAAGGAGGGAGAATGGGGTAGAGAGAGAAAGAGAGGGAGAGGGGTGAGCAGCTAAGAAGCTGAGCGAAGGCAAGATAAAGATGAGCACGGTGAGGGAGATTAGGCGAACTTTTTCCTCAGTTCTAGTGAGTGGAAAGCTGAAATTAGGATCGACAATTTTGGGTTCGAATCGAGGATCTGGGATCATTGTTTATAATTAATACCCCCTTTTTATATGGGTTGGCCTTCATAAAATGGCATATTTATGCCCAAATCCCTCCTAGGTCCTTAGGTTTGTATAGTTGTATTTAGTGGTAATATCCCCACTAAGGCTTCTTTTAGCTTGACTTATTTACTGGGGTAATTCACCTCTGTAGGTTCTCGTACTTGGGCTCTTGTACTTGGCCGCTTATGAGTGCCTTATTGATTTTTGCCTAATTGCTTGATGTTCCAGGCCAGTTCTAGTGAGTGGAAAGCTGAAATTAGGATCGATAATTTTGGGTTAGAATCGAGGATCTGGGATCATTGTTTATAATTAACACCCCCTTTTTATATGGATTGGCCTTCATAAAATGGCATATTTATGCCCAAATCCCTCCTAGGTCTTTAGGTTTGTATAGTTGTATTTAGTGGTAATATCCCCACTAAGGCTTCTTTTAGCTTTGACGTATTTACTGGGGTAATTCACCTCTGTAGGTTCTCATAATCGGGCTCTTGTACTTGGCCGCTTACGAGTGCCTTATTGACTTTTGCCTAATTGCTTGATGTTCCAGCTTGGACCCTTTGTTGTACACTTCTGGATTTACACACTCGGTTAGCTTCTGCTGGTGGATGGGCCAAAAGCTGTTTGGTCCTCTGCTGATCTGAGTTACCTCTTTTGGTCACAAACATGGGTGCATTTAAAAAGTCATTTTTGTTGTTTGCCTAATCGAATACTTGTCCATAGTTAGACTTCAAATAGGAACTTAGTTTTTAGGGCTTTGAAATGATGCTAAATAGTGTACTTTCTGCTTTATTTGGTGATTTGTAATGATTTTTGGGAAACTTGGTTATTGATTCTAAATTGTAAAAATCTACCAATCTATGAGGTTGAATGCATTGAAAAATAGTGTGTACTTAATAAGGTCATACATACATATAATTGTATATATATATATATATATACACGCATATCTTTGCGTGTGTGTGTGTGTGTAGGTGAGTTGGTGGCGGCTTTGTGTAAGTCTCCTCTTGACCCGGGTTCGAATCGACGACTAGATGGGATTTGAATTTGCACATGAGATTGGTTGGGGGCCCGCTCTTCGGCCAATCCATTCTAAATAAGAAATAAGAAAAAAATGTATGTGTGATTTGTGAGTAACGCAATTGGGTAGGAAGGTTTGGAGGGTACTAAAAAAAAGAGTTTGCATTGATAAGGTTGTGCTTCTTTAATGAACTATAAATGCGTTTTAATATTTGTATAAACAATTGTATATTAGAAGTTCATTTTATTAGAAAAAAGAGTAAGCCAAAACACCTTTGACTTGGCATTTGATACAACAAAATTAGTAAAACTATTGAAGAAGAGAATCGATGCGTTTAAGTACTTAAAATAATAGAAATGAAATTAGGTCCCTCTCAACCTCAATTATTGGTTTGGAATGATTTTCAATTTCATAGTTTAGATCCCTCAATTATTGGAGAACATGTCAGGACGGTTCATATTTCTTCTCTATTATTTATTATTGAAATGATAGATCTATCCTTTAGATGGAGATACGATGTTGTACAAGTCTAGATAAATATATATTAGAAAATTATTTGTTATACTAGTTCTATTTATTTTATTTTTATCTTTTTGATGGATTTAAAATTTAAGAAGTCCTTATATTATAATAAAGTTTCAAAATGTGGCTTTGAGCAGTTTATGGTACTAAACATTATTATAAATTGCCATGTTAGTAATAGTAAAGCTTCCCATTGTTTGCAGTTGATATACATTCCTTTTGTTAAGTCAAAACTATTTCTTGCATCTATTGTATTGCATGAACATCGTAGGAATAGAAGGTACAGTTGAAGACATATAGAACATAGATTCACAGTCAAGTAAACAATTGTGTTCGCTTGTTGGATAGCTTTGTATGTGCAACCATTCTTGAATATATGGGTATAGCATTAAAACTAAAATAGATACAAAAGTATGCAAAGTGTGTAATTATGCATGAATGAAGTAAATTTATCATCTCTAACAAAAGCAAAAAGAGAGTATCTTTTTTATTGTTCAAAATAAAACTATCTTGTAAGGCAAGCTAAGTACAATGATGGCCTGCTTTGTTATTGTTTATGGCAGTGTGATAAAAAAGAACTTGCCTACACTGTCAAAAATGAGAGGTCTAGATCATCCGTGCAAGTATCTTGCCAACTCTTCCTCTCCAATATGAGAAGCCATACAATTGCTTAAATTACTATTAAGATCTCAACACTAATGAAGAGCATGATCCCTCTCTAAGGTTTAAAATTACACAATTAGATACTTAGGCATTTTTTTCTGTGAGACAAGACATAAGCCTCACAATCAAAAAATTACATAGAACTAAAATGAAAGTAAAAACCAATATATTAGCATTAAAATCAATATATTAGCATTATAACATATAAATATATTAAAGAAAGATTAATATAATAAGAAGTAGCAAATTACTCATATAACAACTATAAAATTACAAGCTTTTTAGTATCATGTAGTAGATTGTCCAAAGTAGAAGTGCAATACAAACATCAATTGGTAAAAAATAATATAAGATGTCAATGAAAGTAATATAATGTATCAAAAGAATGTACGACATTAAATAAGTTTATTATAATAATTTTCTCTCTTACTCCAATTGTCCAACATATCAGTATCTATAGTTTCAAATGAGAATACGTCGAGTATTAAAAAATCCTTAATACTCTCATCGCCTAGGGCGTTTTCCGTTCAAGTTGTTATCATAATAAATAGCTTTCTCTTCTGTCTTATCTTCAGTTGTCTTCAATTTCTCTCACTTATCCTAATCTTCATCAATCTCATTCATTTTTTCTCTATCCTAATAAAATATAATTAATAATAAATTATGATTATTAATTATTTCTAAAACAACTTCAAATATTTAAATTTTTATGGATATCTTTTTAATCTTTTGTTGCATTATGTTAGATACTAATTTTATTTGTCATCTTAGAAGAAATCAATTTTAGATCCTTTTGTTGCGTCTCAGATGAAGTTATCTCATTGACATCATCTAATGTCATATATTCACATAGTAGGGAATTCTCACCATCCTTTAAACTATTTTTCTTCAGATTTCTATTCTTCGATCTCTTGTTATAGATGATGTGTACCAAATAATTCATCCTTAAGCTCATTTGATGATTTTTCTGTCTTATGTGAACTTGATTTTAATTGTGATGTAGCCGTGTTCTTATCTAGATAACGAGCATATAAGTCCAAATCAAGGATTAAAATGCATAAATGAGTATTTAATCGTTTTATTCTGCGGGACAAGTCTTAAGCTAGTAGATGTTTTAAAGACAAATCTCAAATTCCAAAAATTCCTTGAAGGAATGAGTATTGTGAAAACTTTAAAACATGAAGCAAGAATCAATATAATAACATCTTAATATATTAACAATTTGAAAATTAACATATTAACATCCTAAAAATTAAGAAGTAACAAATTGTGTCATGTTAATATCCAAATATCAATTCATGAAATAAATAAGTTGGGTTATATAAGTATCAAACTATCAAAAAAACTAAGATATCAAAGTAGAACACTAAAACTTGATAACATAACAAAAACAATGTTTAACATAGTCTCTCTCTCACTCATATTATCCTCTACTTAAATTAAAATATAACAAGTCATCAATATTAAAATTTTTAAATTCAAAAGTCCATTTTTTTCTCATCACTCAATGGGTCTTCATTAACATATTGAATTGTTTTCTCCTCATTCTGGAGTATCCTTTTTTTTCCATTTCTCCTCATCTTCAATTTCCATATGTGGTGGAAGAAGCAGATATCGACGACGGTGGCATAATCAACAAGCGGTGATTGCAACAACGGTGGCACGACGGTGGCGCTAAGGGCAGCCTAAGAGGGGAGATCATGTTTGAGAGAGAAGATTATGCGCAACTTGGCTTGATGGTGGAAGCAGCAGGATGAAGTGGTAATGACAACAATGTAAAGGATGCCAGTGTATGAGTGGGAGGGGAGATCATGTGTGAGAGGGGATACCATGCACAACAAGGGGTCCGGGCCAAAGTAGTAGGCGATGATGGCGACACTAAGGGATGCTGGTGTATGCATGGGAGAGGAGATTGTGAGAGGGGAGATCATGCATGTGTGAGAGAGGGGAGATTGACATTAAGTAAAATTTAAAAAGAAACCCTAAGCCTATGTGGCACATGTCTCAAGATAATTGAAGTGAGGTGCGCTTCACCAAATGTGAGGCGTATGGCTCACCCAAATCTTTTGAGGAGTGTCTCAATGCAATTTTAAATAAGGATTCTCCCATCAGTGAATATGACAAGAAAACTTGGGAAGGAGTACCTTTTAAAAAGGTTTTTTAGCACAGAAAAGAGAGAATGAAAAGGAAAAGTGGGAGATGTCTACATGGGAGGTCTGAGATATTTTTAAGCTTCCATAATATTTGTTTTGTCAATATCATAGAAAGTTGTGAATACATTCGTAAATGGACTAGTTTGTTATCCATGGCCACGATTTGTGGAGTAAGT